AAAAGTGTAGTAAAAATTAAATTAAAGACTTTTGTTTGTGAGAAAATGTATAATAAAAAGGAAAGTTATGGAAAACAAGAATGTGAATGTCAAATAAAGACAAATTAATTATATAGGAAAAGAAGAGGAACAAGAAAAATACAAAAATCAAAGGCAAAAGACAAAGAAATTATTTAAATCTGAAAAAAATCAAAAAGTAGATGACATTATAAACAAGATAGAAACAGTAATAAAAGACTGTGCTCAAAACCATTGTACCAATACTAAAAACTAGGTAACCAAAAACGGACAACTAATATGTCTAGGTATAGTAGCAGAAAAATGTCAAAACTATTTCTAAGAAATATATCAAGACACGGATATAGACGAAGAAAGAGAAACAATAGCGAACACAGAAAAATATGACGAAGAAAAAGAATTGATCTATACAGAAGTGAAAAGAATATATGCAAAATATATTTTAAAAACGGGAAAACAGTGGGAAAAGACGGAATATGTGCAGAACTTACGGTGCAGAAAATACTTTTCTTAGACTTTAAACAGGCGTTTGACAAACTAAACAGAAGAAAAATGAGCCAAGATTTAAAAGAGAGTAATATACCAATAAAATTAAAAGAATGATAGAAATGACAATGCGAGATTCCAAGCAATAATAGACACCGAAAGAGAAAGAACAGAAATAATAAAAATAAAAAGAGGAGTAAGACAAGGAGATGCGCTCTCAACGGTACTATTTATTCTATCATTAGACAAGATCATAAAAAAGCTGTCAAACGCAGGAACTATAAACAAGAATGCAGTACAAATAATAGGATATGCGGACGATATAACCATAGTAGCAACATGATAAAAAGGCATTAAAGAAAACCTTCCAAGAAATAGAAAACGAAGCCAAACTGAGAGAACTGGAAATAAGTGAAAATAAAATCAAAATACATGAACGTGAGCAACAAAAAGAAGATACAAATAACAGAAGTGACAATAGATTTCACACAGTTTCGAAGAGGTTGAAACATTCAATATTTGGGAGTACTAGTCAACAGAATAAATAAAAATGTAGATATAAAAGTAGATATAAATGTAGTTCTTCTTTTAATTTACTAAAACACGATAATTTATATCAATTTATTAAACCACTGTACAACAATTTATTTTCGACTAATAATTACATAATTTATTTATACGTGCGTTACATTTTAAAACGCGACTCGATTTATCTTCTCTGACTGACTTCTTTCAATGAAAATCATGTTATATACCTATACAGCTGTTAGACTAGAAGGATGTCGATCCTTGGCGAAAATACTGGAAGGCTACGGCTGGTTTTTCATTCAACGTATTTCCGGAACATTTGAATGGACCGGTTTCTTTTTTTTTTACTTGGAATTTCTGCTAGCTAGTCGAAGGGTCGTAAAATCTAGAACATATTAGTGAATAAACAACATATTTTCCTTCTTTTAGTATGACTCATATTTTTTTACGTAACAGTATGCTGCAGAAACGTTTACACTAGCAGCAAGAGAAGAAGAACAATTCAAGTAACAACGGATATTGCTAAAATGTATGTATGGAAAGAAAGAGTTAACATTGTCTGTAGAGTTAATGTGTTCAAACACATACGAATGTTTCCACTGGAGAATTATTTAAGTGCGAGTGCAATTTATGCACAAATGCAAGAAAATAAAACAAAATTAGGCCAAAATGTATTTTATAAATTTTTATTTAAAGAAATAATTATTTATTAACGTTATTATATGTGAACTAAGTAAAATAATTTCCAAATTGAGAATATACGGATATAGTTGTTAATTAATGACGAAATTGAATAATTGAGATATTGAATTTCTAGGTTTCTAGGTAAAGTTAATGGTTGTTTAGTTTGGAAAGAAGAAAATTAAATGCTAGTTAAGAAAAGGAGAACGACAACTTACTGAAGGCACATTGAAAAGCAGATAGAGTGTCTACATAAAAAGAAGAAGAAGAAGTTTCACCGATGATGGTCCGAGTGGACGAAAACGTCCACAATTTGAACAATTGTAATCTTTTTGGATACATTTTTATATATTTTTAATAAAATATGCTATTGTACACCAGAATTCTTTACATTGCACATACATTAAAAAGTGTTAAAACGAGCAACGATGCCGTGGAACTATATATTGTGCAGAGAAAGATATTAAGAATAAGAAAGACTAAAAACCTCAATTCAAGACAGTTTTGTCGCTTTTTTGGTCTGCCGAAAAGGACGTCTGATTGCTAAACAATTATTTTTTAAATTTCAGTTAGCCTATAATATATTAAACAATGTTTATGTTTGACTGTCACTTTTATTGGAGGCCACAGATTTAAGAAGACTGAAAATTTGGCTAGAACTTAAACCAATTGCACGCCTAAAAGCAACTGATAAAGTCTTTAATTAAATTAGTGATACTATTATGATATGGCTTGATATTATTGTTAAAGAACGAAGTGATCTTCTTCCACTTGAAGAATAAAATTATGTTTCGGGCCGATCATTTTCAAACCTGTTGTGTTTCCGCGTGCAGCAGATTTTGTGAAAAGTTTCTTCTGATGTATTAACGCTAGTCTTCGTCTAGCTCAACAATTAAAAATTGTTCTTCCTTGTCCAGCACAATCTATAGAGTTGAACTCAATTAAGCATGTATATGTATCGAATATGCTTAAGAGATGGGTTATACGTCAAAGACTTTTAAGCAACTAACATTTAATACGAGATCTAATAATTATATATTGGGACATAATAAAATACATGCGTATTTTACATTGTTTCAGATAGTTTATTTTCTTCTAATTATTCGTTTTAATGTAATAATATGTAATTAGTTAATCACTAATAATATAGGTTCAATCAGCCGTACGAAATAAAATATTTTTTAACAGAACGAATTAGTAATAAACAATCTTTATTTTGTTGGCAATTAAATATTGGGACATAAACGTTTTTTATTCTGCCACAAATCTGCTATATTTTGGCTTTTTTGGTTTTAAGTTCGTGTAGTGTCTGTTGTAGGTTGTTTCTTAGTCTCTGTTTAATTTTCTGCAGTATGGTTGAAATGACATTTAGGTCAAGACTGTTAGAAGGTCAAGAACGGACGTTTATATTGTGGTTTTCAAACCATTTTTTTGTGGTTCTGGGCATATGACAGACGTTGTTTGATAATAGTCTGGTTTTGAAGTATTTGTTGATATTTTGCAGCATTTATATATACCTTAATAAATTCAAAACATTCAAATCCTGAAACTACCATACCACATTATTTATTACTCCTTTAGTAAATTTTACAGTACTTGTGAAAAGACTAATGCTTATTCCGAATAACTCGTTTGTAGTTATCAATAACAAATACTTCTTATTTTGATTGGATACTAAAATTTTACGGGGTGTCTTTCCTTCTGCATATATGCGCTCCATTTCGACGTCCTTTGGTCTTCATTGCCCACGCTCAGATATCTTTTTTTTTTTAAGTAAAAGTAATGATTTATTGGTTTAGATGGTTGAGAAAACACATATGTAGTAATAGATTTATAAGCTATTACTCACACCATCCAAATAAGATGAAAATGAACCTTATAACAGGGTTAAAAAAACGTGTTTTAAGGCTTTTCCATCCAGACTATCTACAAGAAAATCTTCAATTGTTAAAAAATATTTTAATTGAGAACTCTTATCCTCCAGATATGCTACATAGGATGCTTTTTTCTAATATTTCTAATATAAATAACTTAACATCATTTTTTACTAAATCTCAGAACATTGTATCCAATAATCAGAACACCTATTATCATTCTACTATACCACATTAGACCAAATATAAAATAAAATAGCAACAAAGAACATCAAAACTATTTCATCTTTATATTCCAAAACTAAGTATCCTATAGATAAATTAGATAAAACAAATGTAGTATACAGCATTAGTTGTACTCAGTGTGAAGCTGTGTATGTTGGTGAGACCGGAAGGAATCTGTCAAACCGTATTATTTCCCACAAAAGTGACTGTAGAATTAAAAAACCATCTTGTGCTTTAGCAGAGCATGTAATCGACAAAGACCATATTATGGATTTTGATAACATTAAAATTTTATGTAATGAAAGTAATAAATTCAAAAGGACTTTTTTGGAAATGGTTTGTATTAGCAGAAGTGATAATAATTTAAACAAAAGATCAGAAATTCAAAATCTAAGCAAAATTTATAATTATATTATTTCTCTATAGTTTATTCATTAAAATATCACATTTTAATTTAATATTCCATATACTTGTTACATTTTTTAGACATCTATCAATGATGAATTAATCTTCTTTTTTATTACTAAATAAAAAATAATTTTTTAAACAAAATTTTATTTTTTGGCAATATAATTGTCAAAAATGAAAATTGTAAGTTGGCATTCATGACATTGAGGCTTTTTGTAATTGGTCGCTATTCTAACTTATTTATAAATTCAATTATTTTTGTTAAAAAGTTTTTCAAAATTACTAAATTTAGAGAAACATTCATTTGATATTTTTTTTCAATAGTTTTTTAACGTTTTAAGCAGTTTAGATTTACTAACAAAACTAATTTTATTTGGTGAGTTAAAATTTATTTTTCTAGTTTCACTTTGTAAGATTTTTTGTATTTTTAAGAAGCTCTTGATAAAGATTGTAAACACAATTGAAAGCTTGACATAAAGAATAGTTTACCAATAGTCTCTTTTATTGACTTTAACCCATAAAAAACGTATTTATATATTTTTTCCAAACGAGTCACAAGTACTTCTTTTTTTCTTACTCCTAAATATATATATATATATATATATATATATATATATATATATATATATATATATATATATTACTTTATGTACTTCATACTCTTGTAATTGTTAGTTATATACGTTTCGTAGCCTTTGCTGGGCTTAGCAATTTTATCATAATCTACCCAAAACACTTAAATGGTGTAAAAATCTAAAATTGCACTGCGCTTGTACTTACTTACGGTTGTAGTTCCCATTAGAAGGGCATTTCCAATAATTGGAATTGGTGTCGGTCCTGGCACATTTTTTAAACTATCATACTTTCTTAGAGCATGAAGCCAAGTTATCACAAGTGTTACTAGAATAACAAGCACAGCTACAATCACACCCAATATCAGCATCGTACTTCTGTGTCCAACACGTAAAACGCGATTCCGTCGAATATTGTTTTCGATTTAAACAGAAAGCGAAAGGTTTCAGCACCAATTAAACGTAACATTGATTTATACGGAGGACAAACCTGACAGAGAGGATAAATTGTTCATAAAAGACGTCCTCTTAGAGGTGATTGGTTATTCAAATTTGATTACTTTTATTAGCGGAATATTATAAAAACAACAAAAAAATTTTTGTTTTATTGTATTATTTTTTTTACATTTTTTTTTTAATTTTTATAAAACGTTTTAAATAAATAGTAATAAAAATAATGAAAAGATACCAGGATGTTTATAATTATAATTTAAACAATGTTTATATTATTAATTATTATAACGTGATAATTTTTTGTAAATTTATGCAAAAGCTATTAATTCGTTAATTAAAAGTAGTGGACACCTAAGTTTAATACTTTTATGTGTATAAGTTCCACCTTAAAATGGAACTGGGCAGGGCACGTCGCGAGAACGAAGGACGGCAGATGGACAAAACGCATTCTTGAGTGGAGACCCAGACAAGATGCCTTTAGGAATAGAGGACGACCACCAACAAGATGGACGGATGACCTGAAACGGACACATCAAAATTGGATGCAGGCGGCTCAGGACAGAAATTTGTGGGGTGAACTACGGGAGGCCTATGTTCAGCAGTGGACGAGTATGGGCTGAATGATGATGATGTGTATAAGTGAGTGATGATACAAGGTTCAGCATTATTTGTTATAGTTTTTTTTATAGTTTATAGTTTTTTGTGTAATTCGCAAAAACATTCGTTATTTTGGCAATTATCTTAAAATGTGGTATGAAAATTATAAAATTATTTCTAAAACAATGGCGTAAAGAAAAATGCAATATCGTTTTTTGTTTTCATGTTTCAATACAGCTGCATTCAGAAAATTCGAAAATTTTCAGAATCCTACTATGTAAAAAATTCTTTGTTATATAAATGATTATTCTTTGATGATTTTCTTTCATGCATAGAAGAGAAACTGTATTTCATTCATTAAAAAAGTCTTATCTTACAAAAGACTAAAAATATAAATATAGGAAGACAATTAATTTAAATTGTGTATACTGATACAATAGTTCCGTAAGATTTATGATTTATTTCATATCTAACAAGTCCCTTGACGAAAAAGAAGAATTACACTAGTCAACAAAATTTAAAAAAAAAGTTGCGACTGATGTTAAGATGGCTTTACCGGGGGTTTAAAGCATACTGATTGCGAATTCAAACACCAAAATTTCTCACCACGTATATATTTTGAGTTATAGAATGCATCAAATAATGTTATTTATTATAAAAAATTTTATATACTATATATAAATAAGTCCATAACTAGAAACAAAAACTATGGTAAGTCTTTTGTACACAAATTCTTTTCAAACGCTGATTTCCTTTTACAGTCTGTATCACTTTCTCTCATGAGGAACCAACAGTAATCTCCCATCATTTCTGCATCCCATCTTCCCTCGTAGCATTGCTCCATTGTGAGAATATCCTGGCGTAACCTTTCTCCTTGCTCGTTACTGACCGCACCCAAATTTTCCGGGAAAAAATTTAAGTGGTAGTGTAGAAAGTGTATTTTTAGAGACATGCAAAAACCTATTTTGCAGTAATTTTTAAGTATTTCTTCTACAACATTTTGGTACTTTTCAACCTTTTTGTTTCTCAAAAACTCGAAAACAATTATTTTGTATTCAAAGAAATACACTCAGCTAACTCAACATCGCATAAATATCCCTTCTTTAAGCTTCGCGTCACTTAGCTTAGGAAATTTTTTTTCAAGGTATTTAAACACATCTCCTTCTTTATCTAATGCTTTAACGAAATTTTAAACAGCACTCTTTACATTAGCCTGACCTGGAATGTATTGATCTCTTGATGACCATTCTTTAACTTGGTAATAGCTCTGTGTTGCTCTACTGTTCCAAAGACAAAGAGAACAGCAAAATTCTTTAAATCCTCCCTAAAGACCTAGTAATAATCCGATGGCTTTTAAGTCACCACATATTTGCCACTTATATGTAGCATACCTTACTGCATTTAGGATCAGCGACATTCTTTCGTATGTTTTTTTCATATCAACTGCATGTGCAAGAGGAATAGATGGTCTTTTGTTGCAGTTATGGACTGGTTTTGCACATGATTTAGAAGAATTTATAAACAAACGCCATTCTTGTGTGTTTTGTGTAAATCCTAATTTTTCCATAACACTATTTGGATTAACACAAACACACATTTTATCCTGCATAGTAAAAAACGAGGATAGCTCCTGGTTACGGTTCCTAAATATTCTAACTTTGGTTCCACTGGCTAGTAAATTCCATTGTTGTAATCGAGAGCCTAAAAGTTCAGTATGTTCTTTGGATAAGTGAAGGTCTCAAACTAAATCATTTAATTCAGTTTGTTGGAGGAAATAGGCTGCTTTATCATCGCTTTCGGGAAAATAAGAATCGTCCGTTTCTGATACATCATCGGGTTCACTTTTATCGTCATACATTTCCAAATATTTCTCCCAATTTGCCGGGGGTCCTGGAACTGGTAAATCTTCTTCTTGAACAACCGGATTTATTGCTGAGGTAATATCTGGATATTCAGTGTTATGCTTATTCTTCCTTGAAAACCCAGACACTTTTGTCATGCAGAAGTAACAGTCGTTAAAATGATTTTTTGGTTCGCGCCAAATCATCGGAACTGCAAACGGCATAGAAAAGATTTTCCCTGTAACCAATTACTTCGATTTGCTGCACACGTTTGGCAGCGTATGTGAGGAGTCCAGTCCCGATCTTGATCGCCAATAACATATCCAAAATACTCATGGTAAGGTACGTTTGTCATCTTATTAATTGTCCTTTTCTGCGATTTGGGAGTAAACTGACCACATACGTAGCAAATACTATCCACGGGATTAACACAACCACGTTTCTCGACTTTTTTGGTAGTGTCCCACACACTTAATTCGGAGATGTTCTTTACTAGCGTCAACCAACTTTATTCCATACACTTTCACTTTTCGATATACTACCACTATCCGTGGTAAACCAACTCTGAGGGTGTGATAACCAGCGAGCTGCTTTTACAACCGTTCCATACTTCTAGCATTTTATAGAAAATCAAAAGGTTGGGAGAACAAAGAAATTTAATATATATGTTGTGTTATTTATAACTTTAGACATCCCAGTGTTACCCAGACAGGGTTGTATACTCTCACCGACCTTATTCAATCTATACTCCGAAGACATTATAAACACAGCACTTTCGGATCAAAATATAGGTATTAAATAAATGGATTCCGAATAAACAACTTGAGATACGCCGATGACACGGTATTAATCGCAGAAACTTGGGAAGATCTTCAAATACTAATTAACAAAATAGTAGAATGCAGTGAAGAACACGGATTATCACTTAACATAAGCAAAACAAAAATAATGCTAATATATAACTCACCACAAAACTTCCCTGACATAACCGTGCATGATCAAAGAATCGAACGTGTAAGAAGATATAATTACCTGGGAACTGTTATCAACGAAAATAATGATTGCTCTGAAGAAATCAGAACCAGAATAGAGAAAGCTAGAGCCACATTTACTAAATTGAAAAAGGTGTTCTGCGGAAGAGATCTAAGTCTAAAACTTAAAATTCGCCTTTTGAGATGTTACGTTATGTCAGTTCTCCTCTACGGGATGGAAACATGGACATTGAAAAAGATCGATACCAAAAAGATAGAAGCATTTGAGTTGTGGATGTATCGTAGAATATTAAGAATACTCTGGACAGAGAAAGTAACAAATGTGGAGGTTTTGCGGAGAGTGCGGAAAGAGAAAGAGCTGATAATTACTGTTAAAAAGCGCAAACTACAATATTTGGGACATGTTATGAGGGGAGATAAATACCAGTTGCTGCAATTGATTATACAGGGAAAGATAATGGGAAAGAGATCTATAGGAAGAAGAAGGCATTCATGGTTGAAAAACTTGAGAGAATGGTACAATTGCACCAATTACCAACTGTTTAGATCTGCAGCATCAAAAATACGCATAGCTTTGATGATAGCCAAACTTCGGAAGAAGACGGCACTTGAAGAAAGAAGTTTTCCAAATATGCACAATTTTTAGAAAAACGTTAATTAATAACATTTCGCTCGATATATTACAAATGAATTTGAAAAGCATATCCATGTTCAGAGAGCCAAAATTAACAAAAAATACCATATTGCATTCGAGTCGCAAATTGGTTGTAAACTAGTGTTATTTAAAATCTATAATGTTCGAATGTATCGAAATATCCGAATGTCTCGTAAGGTCAGGAACGTCCAAAATTGTATATAAACACAGGAAGTTGACGTTCAAGTAGTAGTAGTAACTGAGTTTTTGAATTGTTCTGTCATTCAGTTAAAGTTGTTATCAAGTACTGTAATATTAATTGCTGTTTTAATAAAAGTGGTTCGTTAACAGCTGTGTGATTGTATAACCATACGAATTCAACTTAAGGTTTTCCAGGAAAGTCTGATCGTTATCTTCTTTCTATTTAACTGTGATCATCTGAAGACTTACTTCTTCGGTTACATTTTCTTTTTCTTCAAGGTCTTGAAGTCTTTGACATTACTGGCATTAGCATTTCAAAGAGAGCCTAGAAAGAATATCAGCATTGTTGTGAAGATGCTTCTTTCGATGTACTACGACGATGTTATACTGTTTGAGTCTTTATATTCACCGAGTAACTTGTCCTGCCAGTTTTTTTTATATTTGTTAGTAACTGCAAAGAAGTATGGCTAGTTCGATTTATAAAATTTCTAATTATAAAGGAAACTATTAAAATATTCTAGCGCTTTTATAAGAAGAGCAAATCTCTTTAATGGTAACGTAATAATTCTTTTTAGCCTTTTCGATTGTTTTATTAAAATATGCAATAATTTTCTCCTCGCCTTTCTGTTTTGTAATTTTAAGATGCTAGTATGCATTTCAATCTAACAGAAATTTTCCATATTTTCGAAGCTAGGCTAGTATAGGTACTGTTTAGGCT